AACAATTACTCAAACAAATTTTTACATCATGTAAACAAACATCATTTCGACTTTCAAAATCCAAAAGATCAGCGAATTTAGTTATATCGCACATAGTTTAAATGACCGTTATTTAGAGGATACTTTTATCGTGATAAAAAGTATGGCGAATGAAGAAATTCGTTAAAAAATGAGTATTGAACCAAACTCTTTCATAATAACAGTCAATGAAGTACATATAATAAGTAACACAATATCATATTAGCAATCCAAAAGGTCAAAGATTTTCGTCACACAAGCTCACTTAAAATAGTCAATTTGAAACGCTTCTAATTAGCATATTTACCCGACCCGACTAAAATGAATATTTCTCTAAAACAAAAGCGTATTTTGACAAACAAAGTATACCACGATGATTGGGATATAATAGGMAACAAATCATAAAAGTATGAGCAAAATCGATTTTTGGGCTGTTGCCATGATTTTTCGAATTTGTTTGATGCTTACTGACATTCGCTCTTAATGATTTTAAGAACTAATAGATATGAACACTGATTCTTTTTAAAACAAGGGAGAAATGTAATATCCCGGATGATTACGTAGTTTATCTATGTGCAATCATGCACGTAATTTCACTACATGTGCTTTTCGATATGTATTAAACCAGTGACTGTGTGAACCGACTCTAGTGTCAACTTATACTTAAATAACGGATTCAACATTTTCTAACATTTTGATAGTCCGTTAAGTTTCATTAAGCGGCTACCATGATTTTGATGTCGATTTCAAATTCGTGTTTACCACTGGAAAAGACGACCTCGCAGTAGAGAAAGACTTCGATTGCAAAGCTGAAACTTTCACGGTAAGAAGTTTAATGATCAAGGTTTCCAACGAAATAGTTTTGATGCAAATAAAATATATACCAGATTATGATCCAGCTCACTAAAGTTAGTCGCATTTAGTTCACGGGTTTCAAAGCACGTCAATAATATTGATCGTAAAATTAAACAAAGTAATATTTTTTAAATTTCTTTTAATGATTGTTAACTTAAAGCATTTAGTATTAATCACAAGAAATATGAAATCGATCTGTTTTGTTTTAAGCGAGATATGCGATGTTAAATCTGAGACATATTTGGCGTTGTTTACACCTGTCGACGTGGACCGGAAATCGATTTTCAAACTTTTGTAAATTTCGTCAAAATGAAAAATCGCTGGACACTTTAAACTGGATTTTTTGAAAGAGCTCATTAAAGGGTATCTTTGGACAAAGTATGAGGAATTTGAAAATTTCGCCGCGGTTGTCCAGCCATTCTCGGTCCTTACTGACATTCACTCTTAAAATGATTTATTCTTCAACAGGCAGAAGCCCGCTGCACCACATTGCGCTTTTGCGGTATTTGTCTACCTTTGGTGACGTGATTCAACGGTGAGTTGTTACTTAGAAAAAATATTTCTTTGAATGAAGAAGTACAGTTTGAGTCGAAAGCCGATTTACACCCGTAGTAAAGTTGTGGCATGGGCGGCTTGAAGCTTTATTGAGCTGCCTAGATGTTTTTAAAACTCGTTTTTTTTTTAATTGTGTGTCGCTGGGTAGTATAGTTCACCTGCTGTTTGAGGAGTTTGTATTGAACGTATTTACCAAAGAGAATGAAGTTGACAAAATTGACAAATTTACGCCAAAAAAAATTCAATTCAATTTCCAATTCAGCCATTCAATTTCTCCTAAATTGAAAAAAGATCATATCATGTGTGTTGTGGCTAGAACGATCGTTACTCCACCCATTTCTCGTGATTGTCGATACACTTTCAGTATTTTATACAGCAATCTGTTTTCAAGCTGGCCAAAAATAACACCTTTTCATTGGCTGGCTATCGTGCGTCAGCCTCACTGAAACATACGTCGAGGATACACACGGAAGGATGCAAAAGGTACATATTGCTATTTAATTACTTATAGTTACAGAATCACCGCTCTTACGTTGTCAGTATTGTCAGATTGCTACTTGTTTGATAGCTTTTTATTCAGCCAAATGGCGCGTTCATCGAATCCTTGTGCAGATGAAGTGTAACACTAATAATGACAAATTGATGCTGATCAAAACCCTCTGAAAACAAATCCCATAATTGCCTATTTTTTGCAAAATACACATTGATCAATTTAAATTGAGAGCAGTGCCTTGGGCTTGCCTTGCTTGCTTCTCATCAAGATAAAGAACAGAATTTTATCTTTAATGATGCCCGAGGGAAATGGAGCCAAAAAAATCCTTGTGAGAAGATAAAAATCACCAGAGAAATATTTAAGTGATTATTTTACTATTTTTATTTCCAAAGCAAACCACTATTGACATGTGGCAAACCATTGCAATAAATGTGCGTAATGGAAAAAGCCACTAAACAGAAAGACAATCTGATATGATTAAAAGTTTTGTTTAGATACGGTAATGCAACATCCTTTTCACCTTGACCGGCTTTACTTTATAGATAATTTGATTTTCGAATTCAGAAATGAAAATGCCACATTTTTTTTTTTTAATCATTCCAGTAAAGAATATCAATTTTCTTCTATTTCATTTTGAGGTTATAATATGCCGCGCATTTAAAGCACAGAAAAAACTATTGTACTCTTCGCTTTGAAAGTCTTCCAATCGTGTTATAATTTTAAAATGACGATTAAACGATTTTTAAATGTGGTATATATTATATATATATATATATAAATAGAATAAATGAAGAAAAAGCCACGCAACTTGTAACTAGGTTTTCTACTTTTTAATGAACGTTTCGGCACTTCGGCCKTCTTCAGCAAACTGAGTGTTTTGCACGCGCCATTGCTACAAAATGCGACTAACGGAAAACAACAAAACGCGCGCGCTCTACAGCGCGC